GAAAATGTAATACATATCAATATTAAGCAGTCATAACTGATTTTTCCTGCATTTACAGGTCAATTTTGACAACCTTACAACATAGTTTCACTCACTAAAGTTTCCTCGTCTTGAAACACAATTTTAGGTTTTCCCTTTCGAATACATTGTGATAATCTATCAAACATCTTTGCCCTTTCAATTTCAATTTCAGTGACTTTAGCAGCAGTTCCTTGACCGGAGTTGTTACTATGAGGATGAGGCCAGCGTAAACATTCTATATTGTCCCAGTTTTTACGAAGAAGTTTAGGCAGCTCTGATAGTTCTATATCGTCGAGTAGGATAATAATGTTTATTTTCTCTCGTCCTTTCCGAAAGCAATAACCACTTGCTACCTGCATTGCATATCTGGTCCACTCACAGCTGAGAAAATGATAGCTTACCACAAAAACACACTTATAACTGTAATCTATTGCGTCCAAAATGTTTGTAGCTATATCTTTGCCTGGTCGAAAATCTTTGTCTTCACATATGAAAGACAGTTTGTCTTGTTCTAAATGAGGTACAAGTCGTTCCCGTACCCATTTGGTGTCTTTATTAGAATAAGATAAAAAGACATAGTGGGAAAACTCGCCCTCCGCTGGTTGTCTGCACCAGACTCGTAACTTCGCGCTGTATCTCCAGGTAACCAACGACACCGTCACTAATACGGAAATCAAAATAAGGAGTATTGTTGACACTATCAGCCAGCTGAAGGAGGCACAGTTAATCTCGAATTTCTCAAAGGTGCGATGCAGTTCTTTAAAATGGATAAAATCACCATTTGGCGTTATACATTGTAGATGTTCTTTGTTGTAAAGCACTGTTGTCCTGAAAACCCATCGAGGAAAATCCAAATCGTGACAGCTGCATACTAAGGGATTGCCATGTATATTAACACTGAATGTGTCAGATTTTTGTTTCAGTCTATCAATGAGATTACAATCTGATAATGACAGTGTCGTTATGGAGTTTTGACTGACATCAACGTATTCCAGTGTTTCAAGAGCTTCTATAGCTTTTGCTGGGAACGTGCTTATTTCGTTCTCCGAGATCATTAAAACTCTCAGTGAATCTTTTTGGTCATAAAATGTCATTGGATCCCATTTCGGGATATGGTTTTCTGACAAATCTACGTATGTAAGATTACGAAGTCCATTGAATACAGACTTGGAGTTGACTGACAACAAATCAGATTCAAAACTACACTGTCTTGCTACAATCTTTGCGAGATTTGGCATATCAGCAAATACAACACATTTTACGTGATAGCAATCCATAAATGATAAATACAATTCCTCCATATGGACCAGCCCTTTACCGTTTATATAAAGCCTGAAGCTCCCTTCACGTTCATAGCTTATGTCAAAGTATCTCAATGAGTTGTTTAACGAGAAATGAAGTTTATCGAAGTACCCACGTATGTTATTGTGACTTATATTCAAGAAAATCAATCTAGGAGGTAAAAATAAAGTTCTTTCATCTCTAAGAAAACGTTTGAAAGAAAGTCGTTTTCGCCTAGACTTACTAAGAATGTTGCATGTAAGAGAAAAATGTGTCAGAGCTGGAAATAATGGGAGATAATATACCATGTTAAAGGTTGTAAACTTATTTTGTGAAACATCTAAAACTTCTAGGCATCTTCTGCCTGTCCATGACGTAATACCTTTAAGCGGGAAACTGGATATTGCATTTCTGATCAAATAAAGACGTTTGACACAAATGGATTGGAGGTAAACAATATCAGATGTGTGAATTTTAACAGGGTTATCAAACGGCAGAAAATTGTTGTTAAAACTTATCTGTTCCATAGTCTGGTTTCGCAATCCATACAGGATGTAGAGAACTTCGCGAATATTAAGGGTTCTATCTGAATCAATGTCCAGTAAAGCAAGGGTTTTAAATGGAGACAGTGCATCGTTCTCGATAAAACTTAATCTAGAGTTTATAATAAGATGTATTATTGTTATACTTCCTAATCCCGTGAACGATGTATTTCGAATAGAACATCTTTGCATACCGTATAAGTTCAAAATCCTCAACTTTTTTAAATGCGAAAATCCAATCCCAAAACTAAATTGGTGGAAAACATCAATTTTAAGAGTCTCGATACTTGTAGTATGTGACAGCGCTTTGATTGGATATACTTGATTGAGGTGGAACACATTCCGATGCAAATCTAAAACTCGGAGATTATTCAGAAATTGGAATACGTTTGTGCCGAGAGAGCTATCTAGTCCGTTGTCGCTAAGACTCAGGAACTGGAGGTGTCCCAAACCGTCAAATGCCCCGGATGTGATGTTTCTCATTCCGTTCCGGTTCAGTTTCAATGTTTGTAAATTTGGTAAATATAGGAACGATTTCGGTTTTAAGGTGGTCAGTTTGTTGTTTGACAGATCTAGTTGTGTGGCGTTGATCGGCAGATCCTGTGGTACAGTGTCCAGTCCACATCCTCGACACACGACATCCTCTCCTGCAGAACTCACCGCACAGCAATCGGGGTAGCCACTAACATCTACTAACAAATAGAAACCATGTTATCATTATCAGATTGATATGTTAAGGTTATTTTGTCAGAAAAATTGCTTTGATTTATTTTTATCATTTTAAAATAAATATTCGTGTATGCTTACACGAAATGTTTTTGTTCACAGAATCATTCATCCCCATATAAAACCCCTTCCATTCATATTTCGCTTCAGAGACATTGAAAAGAGTTCTACGTATAACCCTCATTGCAAAGTCGATATTCATTTGTCCACTTGTCAACTCTTTCTTTACGTTGTTGTCTCCCTGGGTCACCATGCGACGTAAAAACCCAAACCAAACACATCTTCATTGACATAAAAACAAATAAACTGATATCTATGCTTTACAAGTCAATTAGAAGTTATTTATAACGCTTATTAAAGAAATTGCTTTTTTAGTCAAACAAATATTAAATAGTTTCCTGTTGGTTAGTCATATTTGAAATGTATTCTTTATTTTATGAAAACTTGCCAGGATTCAGTGAAACGACATTTCACATAATCAAAGCAGAACTTTTAATACAATTTTTAACATGATAGTCTATCCCTCACTGGTAAATTGGTCTCTAACGGTTCTAGGATCTTTGGCATGGTTTTTCTATGGTGTTGAATTTGGAATCACTAACATAATCTCCAGTGGTACTGTATCGGTCATCGTTGGTTTCATTGATCTGGGTTTCGGTCAACCTCTCCTCTGACCCATCCCTATATCTACTGGGTTCTCGTCTTACCCTTCTACTCTTCACTACATCATCACTTTCCCCCACACCATTCCCACTGATCTCTACTATCCCCTCATTTTGTTTCCGCAGGCACTAAATCCTTACGGTCCCTATTTGTTCTAGAGTATATCTCTGCCCTACGTTTCTTCGAATTTTTAGGCATATTTTTTCACTTTCTTGGCTACAACTGTCAGCGAGTGGTCCATATTAAACACTTACATGATTAACTCTAATCCCACCACTGCCACCAATTGTGGCGTGGTCGGGTCAACATTTGTATATCTATCAAGGCTTATAATTTGTAACAAGATAACCTTAGTCAATAGGGTCTCTGCAGCCCCTGGTCAACAAGGCTATTTTAAACTTAACACTATTTTGAACCCACTTGGTGACAGTGGACAAACGCCAAATAACAAGTTTGATCAGAAATATTTATGTAAGTCAGATTAATAAAGCCATACGAGTACGACAGTTGCAAAATTAACACCAGACCATTTCGACTAATTCTTGTTCTGTACATTTGCAAGTACATAGCCTCTACACTACCAAGACTCCTGCAGTGCCTCCCTGCGACAGTGCATGTAAACTGGGGTATAGTACCTCAGGACAAACTGTAAGATATATCGGAGCAGCAAGGGCCCTAGAGATACAGTGTGTAGGCCCAACGGTGTGTGGACATGCCCTAGCACTCATCAACCTTGTCCCAGCTATGGATAAATAATCGGTTAGATGAGGTTCGTAGCCCAGTAAGGCAACTTATCTAGGAGATGGTAAACTTCGAAAACAAACATGGATAGAATGGATTCATTAGCTCAGTACAGCAGCCCTTCTATAGGATGGAAACCTTGACCACAAATTCCCTGGCCCTCCAGGTTGGAGTGTTGGGCATGGGGTTAACTTCCCCATCCTGTAAAAAATACCCTCTGGTATAGGTTGAACAGGGGACTTATACAACAGCGGAATGGCTTCTCCTAGTGAAAGCACTATTGTGGAAACTAGGAAAATGAATATGAGTCTTTTAGGGCCTAAAGCACAAATACATATAGGAGCCTGGAATGTTCGAACCATGTATGAAACATCAAAGACGGCACAGGTCATCAAGGAAATGCAGCACTACAGGTTGGACGTTCTTGGCGTGAGCGAATGTCGTTGGACTGGCTCAGGAAAGACTAGAACAAATAGTGGAAACATCATCCTAAACTCTGGACACAAAGACAGTCATATTAATGGTGTAGCAATAATTATATGCAAAGAAAAGGCAAAAACACTTACTAGATTTGGAACCAATCAATAATAGATTAGTAACAGCAAGATTTAATTCAGACTACTGTAAGCTTTCTATCATACAGTGTTATGCACCAACAAATGGTGCTGAAGATGAGACCAAGGATGATTTTTACGAACATCTGCAGACTGCCATTTCTAAAGTACCTCAACACGACATGCTGGTAATAATGGGAGATCTTAATGCAAAAGTAGGATCAGATGACACTGATGCTGAATATGTCATGGGCAGGCATGGTTGCGGGGTTAAAAATGAGAATGGCGAACGTACTATTAATCTTTGTCTTTGCAATAAATTGGTGATAGGAGGGACCATCTTTCCTCATAAAAACATCCATAAACTAACATGGAAATCACCGGATGGAAGAACAGTAAACCCGATTGACCACATATTAGTGAACAACAAGTGGCGTAGATCATTGAGAGATGTACGAGTACTCAGGGGTGCAGACGTAAATAATGATCACTATCTACTGAAAGCCACCATCAAATTAAAACTTAGAAAGGCACCGACTGAAAATCAGAACAGAAAGAGACTAGACACAGCAAGGCTAAAATCACCAAATGTCAATAAATCACTAAGCTTAGAATTGAAAAATCGGTTTAGTGTGCTAGACAACTCTGATGATGGAGAAGGCAGTATACAAGAGAAGTGGGATAACATCAAAGATATTTATGTGAAGACTGCAGAAAAGACAGTTGGTCACAAGACAAAAAAGAACAAAGATTGGCCAACACCGGAAACATGGCAAAAAAATAGAAGAAAGAAAAACTATAAAACAGAAAATAGTAAATACAAAATCCAAAAGGTTACAAGATCAACTACAAGTATCATACAAAACAAAAGACAAAGAAGTTAAAAGAAGTGCTAGAAAAGATAAAAGACAATATCTGGAAGACCTAGCACAAGAGGCAGAAAAGGCAGCCATTCTGGGTGAGTCGAGTACTGTATACAAAATCACCAAACAACTTTGTGGAACATCAAATGCCCAGACAGCCCATGTAAACGACAAAAATGGCAATTAATTGAGAACAGAACGTGAACAAGCAGAAAGGTGGGTCCAACACTTCAAAGAGGTATTGAACTGCCCTGAGACTGATGCCATAGCTAATCATGAACCATCAGAAGATGATCCGAACATCAATACAGAACCACCGACTATAGAAGAAGTAAGAAATGCTATTAAATCATTGAAAACAGGCAAGGCACCAGGCATTGATTCCATCCACGCAGAGATGTTAAAGGCAGACTTAGATACATCATCCAAGGTACTTCACAATCTTTCCCTTGTCATCTGGAAAGAAGGGGACAAACCATCAGATTGGAGCAAAGGCCTCATTGTGAAATTACGAAAGAAAGGAAATCTACACATCTGTGACAACTGGAGAGGGATTACATTACTTTTTGTCCCTAGTAAAGCGTTCTGCAAAATTCTTTAAATGGAATTGATAAAATCGTAGATGAATAGCTTAGAGAAGAACAAGCAGGCTTTAGAAGAGGGAGAGGATGCATTGACCAAATTTTCACGCTCAGGAACATCATTGAGCAATGCATAGAATGGAACACACCACTTTTCATTAATTTTATTGACTTCAAAAAAGCTTTTGACAGTATACATAGAAAAACTCTTTGGAGAATCGTAAAAGCATATGGAATCCCACCTAGAATTTCGATGCTAATAAAAGCCTTCTTCAACAGCTTTGAGTGCAGCGTCATCCTTGGTAGCTCTATTTCAGACTCATTTGAAGTTAAATCTGGTGTAAGACAGGGATGTATTATGTCACCCATCCTGTTTTATTGGTCATTGACTGGATACAAAGGCATACAACATCAGACAAGAGAAGGGGTATCCAGTGGACTATGTTTAATCAGCTAGAAGACCTTGATTTTGCTGGCGACATAGCCATACTATCAACAACAAGCGAACACCTCCAAGAGGAGACCAACATACTAAACAACTATGCAAAGCAAACCGGTCTGAACGTAAATGCCAACAAGACCAAGGTAATGTCACTAAACACCAGGAATACAACACCAATTACAATCAATGATCTGCCAGTAGACAGTGTTGAAGATTTCACCTTTCTTGGAAGCGTCATAAGTAAAGATAATGGGTCAGGAAAGGAAATAAAGGCAAGACTATCTAATGCACGTACAACATGTACAAGACTGGAAGTCCAACCAGTACAGTTTAAGGACCAAACTGCGAATCTACAACAGTAATGTCAAATCTGTCCTACTCCATGGTTCAGAAACTTGGCGGGTTTTAGTAAGTGACCTTCAAAAAGTAGATGCATTCCATACTAGCTGCCTAAGACAGATCAATAGAACATTCTGGCCAAATAAGATCAACAAGAAGAGCCTTTTGGAGAAATGTAATGCTAAGAGCATAACAGCAGAAACCCAACAACGAAGATTTAGATGGTTAGGCCATGTGCTGAGAATACCACAAAACCGCACACCTAAAACAGCTCTATATTGGACACCACCAGGAAAAAGGAAACCAGGGAGACCAAGAATCACCTGGCTAAGAACTGTAACAGCAGAATTGGAAGCAATGGGTTACACCTGGGGCCAAGCCCAGTACATGGCTAAGGACAGAGAGAAGTGGAGGCAGTTTGCTGTGGCCTTATGTCCCACTTGGGATGAAGAGGACAAGTAAGTAAGTACATTTGCAATAAAACGTCCAATCTAGTCCAGTCTCACAATTATACTGACTTATAAAGTAAAAATAGCAAATGCATACTAAACAAACAGCCATAAATTATTTCTTTCCCTTCGTTCAGCCGTGATAAAATATATTGGAAGTTCATTTCAGTTTCTAGTGTTGACATTGACCTAATCCGACTTTGAAGTCACTTTCCAAAATAGAAATTACAGGAAATTTCTTTTCGGAAAAGCTGGGTAGTTAGTTACGCATGACAATAGGCTCTTTCCATACGAGATTCACGCTCGAACCTGGTTATTTCTTCCGAGATCTTCC